TTGTGCTCCATGAAATAAACCGCACAAAACCGTGAGTAATCATCAATAAAAGTGACAAAATACCTTCGTCCGCCAATTGACTCAACTTCCATTGGCCCACAAACGTCACTGTGTATAAGTTGAAGTTTCCGTGTAGACCGAATTTCACCAACCGCCCTAAGCGGCTTTCGTTGAATTTTTCCCTCTACACAAGCTTCACAAAATGACAGTTTTGCATCATCTGGAATTTTCACATTCAAAACATGGCCTTTCCGTACAGCTTCCTTTAATTGCTGACCACCAAGATGACCCAATCTTTGATGCCATAAATCCAGATCAGATTTCTTTCCGTCAACCAGCATTCCCTTATGTTCCAGGTTTGGTCGACAATTTAACTGATCCCCAATTTCCATTCAATGTTCCCATTCCACGTACAATTCCATTTTCACCGTAGATCCAGCAAGTCGACCGATCAAATTTCAAGATTTTTTCTTTGCTTGCTGCTGAATGTACTGAAAACAGATTACACGCCAGTTTCGGAACATACAGAACGTCATATAAAGTACTTCGCTTCGACTTTTTTCCGTGAAACAGCATCACAAGGTGAACATTTCCTACACCAAGTGCTTCCACTGTTCTGCCATCTCCAAGTTCCACTTTTTCCGGAACACTGAATTTTCTATAGTTTACCAGAAATTCATTTTCTTTAGTCATGTGACGCGACGCCCCAGAATCCACCAGCCACTCCGATCCATGGGCACTGTTAGATGAACCGATCATTGCTGAATCATCATCTTCACTGGATTCTGGTTCAGGCATGGGAGTCATAGTTTCCGCTTTATGGTATCCAGTGGGCACATACTTTTCTTCATTTTACGGGACAATTTCGCCGAATATGCCCCTTTTGCCCACATCCATAGCACGTACGTTTCTTGTCGAAACCGACCAAAGCTGACTCGTCTTGATTGCTATTCTTCCCATTTCCAGAGCGACCATTCATCTTTTGCTCTTCGTGTAAAAGCGCCTGTTGAACAAATCCTAGGCTAATTCCATCTACACGCGATTCCAGAGCAGTTACCAGAGTTGAATAGCTCTGTGGAAGACTTCCAAGCAATGTTACAACTTGATCTTCTTCACTGATAGGCGCCCCAATAGCTGCCAGCCTATCTGTAATTTCTTTCATCCGCTTCAAGTGATCATCCATCCGCATTCCCTTTTCCATCTCCGCACGAAAATACTGCTTCTTTAAAATAGCTTGTTTGCCAACGTATCCCGTTCAAAATGATTACGCAATGCATCCCAAGCCGCCTTTGGTTTATCAAAAGAAGTTACCAGATATAACTGTGACGGATCGATAGACAAAACAATTGTTGACAATGCCTTTTGCGACTTTTTGTTGAATTCGAGCACTGCTGCTTCACCAGCGTCTTCAGTAAGCGTAACCGAGCCATCAACATATCTCCACAGCTCCTTTGCAAGCAAAACATGACGCACCTGAAATTTCCATGTTGTCCAATTGGACCCATCCAATCTATCAATAGACCATTTGTCCTCCATTGAACCCGATTAGAACCAGTCAACGACCGACAACAATATTCAGTTCAAAATCAGCAGCAAAAGTCACTGGTTACTTTTCAGTCTTTCAGCGCAGCGGAAGCGTGCTGGGCCTATAACCTGTTGAAAATAATCTTTCGACCTCCCCAACCAGCAACAGCAAAGCACCAAAAAGTATAGTAACAGTAAACTTTAATACATAACTCGAACAGAGCGAAAAACACACGCAGCCTTAAAAGCAGAAACAAAACGGAAGGGGAGAAAGTAAGCCTAAAAGAGGGTTGCCAGAAATTCCAATTATACGATATACAAAAATATAACACAAACGCATCCTGTTCAACAAGTCGTTATTAAGAGTTTAGAAAAACGAAGAAATATATTGCTTGTTGATTAACTATTTCCGTTGTAGACTATCTAGTTTTTGATCTGATAATGAACTCGTATATATACTCGTATACAAATAAACAGTTCAAAATAGGCTGATAGTCAGACAGCATCCCAGTAACACTGCGGGCGCGTCGAGTCGTAGCAACTTAGCTCGTTTGTTTTTTCTTTTACGAATCATTTATATAGACTTGATTTGGTGCGCCGAGAGCATGGCGCTGTAACGCCGCCGTATTCGGAATGCTGAGTCGTCCAATTGCCGCGTTTTATGGCGTTAACAAGTCGCTAAAAGCCACAGATTTGGAGAATCGAATGAGAACTGTAGATTCACGAAGAGCGTATTTGAAACATTAAAAGTAAAAAAGTCCTTCTTGTTCCAGTTTACCACTCTTAAGCGGAACATGCTATGGCAGCGGTTCCCGAAGTGGGCGCCGCGTGCACCACGGCGATTTGCTAAGTGCGCTCTGATAATTAACAGAATTGTGTTGAACATAACTAATATATAATTGAATATTTTACATATTTATTTATTATGAATATTTTATTGTTTCCTATTGCTGTATATATCAATCAATAAATTTATTTTATCTATCTGTGTCGTTTACTTTGTTACATTGTTTTTCCTTTATTGTTACGTGATATATTGGAAGACACTACTTGCTGCAGTTCATTTATCTGCTGAACCGAGCTTAGCTAACACGAGTGATTTTATCAGTGAACGAGTGATTTTAGTTAGTATTTCAAAAGAAAATTAGGCAGAAATGAGGTATAAGAGTTAACATTGTCTTTATTCTTTAGACCTGCATGTTTGCAGACTTCTGAAAAGCATAAAATACACATTAAGGATCACAAAACTGAGTTTTATTAAAGGCACACGTTGCAATGTTCTTTCAGAGACTTGTATAAAAAAAAAATGCCTGGATTGACAGTTTTCATCATTAGTAATATAAAAAAAATATCTGTATATGACATCTCCAAATGAACTTGAACATCTTCATCGTTAGCGTCACTCATTTCAACAAGATTCTTCAATTTGTTTGCTGTGATTGTAACAGGAGATGACTTTTCATCCACCGACTCATGACGCCGCCTGCTAACCGGCAACGATAACAAATAGGATTTCATTTCTTATAACGACATGTCTGACGTTTGCATTACAGCATCATGAAGTTTTTATTTCTTGATACCTAAAATACTGTTGTACAATTTTTCAAAAGTCCTAATGTATTCCTGTGCCGGATGGTTTGTGTCAATCATGTACCGCTCCAGCGGCTTCATATGATATTTTTTTTAAATTTGGAAGCCATCGACTGGGGGAAGCCGTATTTTGCCTAATAACTTAGGATACACTTGAATACCATGATAAAACTTCCCATACAGTGCCACGAGACCATCATTTTCCAGTACTCTCTTCACTTCCCGTACAAACGCTTTCATGTCCATGTAATGAGCCGCTTCTGCGCAAATTATCAAGTCAACTGAGGAATCCTTCACTGGGAACATATCTTCTTTCCCAACATAAAAAGACGTTTTTGGGGTGGGATTTGGTCATTTGTTTTGCAAGATCGACTTGATATTTGTTAATATCAATTCCCACCGCTCGACGAAAATGAGGAAGAAAATCCCTCATTGAAGCGCCATTGCCACAACCTACATCAAGAAGTAGGCCGTATTCCTTCACAGATTTTTCATTTTCTCTCAATTGTTCAAGACGATTTATCTTCACACATTTGACGACAGAACACGGATGGTGCATACTTTGTTGAACATTCATGTTTGAATAAACCGTTGCAGAATCTTTTCCCTGCCAAGTCTCCATGGTATGTTCTTAAACCAGGGGTGTACAAACTTTTTTGACCGCGGGCCAGTTTTGACTCAAACTGTGTTGAAACGGACCGGACAAATATTTTTGCAAATGCAATGCAATAAATTTACAAAAGTTGGGAAATCCATTCAATTTTTTCCAAGAATATAGCGTAAATTCTACATTTCTGAAGAATTCAATATTGAATTCTATTTATATCGCAGAATATAGATCGAGAACATCATAGCAAAACAAATATACAAGATTTCTAGATCTATACAACGATCATGAGTTTAGCTGTTGGGAAAACACTGCTGTCAAGAATATCCACATTTAAGCAGCACAAAAGTTAATTTGACTTGTGGAATTGGAGCAGTACGCAAGGGATTACAGTACTATTAGCTTAAAATGCACGTTCGACGTTCATTTTAGCACAAGAAACGTACACAGCGATAGTTCCGCCGAAGGCACGCGCCACGAGTACATCTTTCGAATAATACGTTGCGTACCGGTAGAGAATTTTAGCCTATTTTATCACAGCTATTTCTAGACTAATTTTTGATTACTACTATTAAACTACAACTCCTAAGAAGTCAATATGATGACTGACTTCTTTGATTCATACTTAAATTTCCGAAGCACAACTAAAAACTAACAAATACCATTCGAAATCGCAAAATCGAGGTATTGTTTACAACCACGACTGAAAATCTGTCTGAGTGAGTGTCTGAACGGAATGCGAAAAGGCATATTGTTACGTCACTTTTTTGCATCTTGCTGATTGGCTAATGTTACGAAATAAAAAGGGAAGGCGATTCTCGGAAAAACGTCCCGTGAAAGAAAAATCGCCTTTTTTCCGTATTATTGCGGGCCAGATTAAAGGACGCCGCGGGCCGTAGTCTGGTGACTTCGATCTTAAACTATATAAATTTTTCTCTTTCAATATGAATGAACTGAACAATTCAAACATTTACTGTATTGGCAAACAAATCCCCTTTGCCGCAGCGCGATGGCGAGCGTTCTGCCAATACGAATGAGTTGACCATCGAAGGCCCGAAGGCCGCGCTGTGTAATAGCCGTTCTTTGTGACCAGGGCGTAGGGTTGCCAACTATGAAAAGTTTTAATGAAGGACATAGATTACCGTCATCAATTATTTTGTAACTTGCAGGAAAGAACAACATGAAACAATAAAATAAATATTATATATAAGCTAAAAAGATATAATAAAAAATCTTCATGTGTTTTTCATTTAATGTTTATCATTGACCCAAACAAGCTCTAATTTTGCGGTGGCACTTCCCGTACAAACGCTTTCATGTCCATGTAATGAGCCGCTTCTGCGCAAATTATCAAGTCGACTGAGGAATCCTCCACTGGGAACAGATCTCCTTTCTTAACATAGAAAGACGTTTTATCGGATCTGGTCATTTGTTTTGCAATATCGACTTGATATTTGTTAATATCAATTCCCACCGCACGACGAAAATAAGGAAGAAAATCCCTTATTGAAGCGCCATTGCCACAACCTACATCAAGAAGTAGGCCGTATTCCTTCACAGATTTTTCATTTTTTCTCAATTGTTCGAGACGATCTATCACACATTTGACAACAGAAGACGAATGGTCCATACTTTTTGGAATTTTTGTATAAACAGTCGCAGAATCTTTTCCTTGCCAAGTCTCCATGGTATGTTTGAGTCTTGAATTATATAAATTTTCCATATTTCTGATGGAAAAACTAAAAAATCAAAAGTATTTAGTGACTAACAAAACAATCCCCTTTAGCACGATGGCGAGCGTCCTATCAGTACGAATGAGTTTACCGTCGAGGGCCAGAACACTACATCACCTGTAACAGCCGCTCTTTGTGACCTGGACGACACTGTTTTCGCACTTGAATTTATTAACAGTTCAATCACGCTAGGATATACGTCCTCCTTTCGGAAGATTTGTCCTCTTTATCGTTAAATATTTTACGTCCTTCGCGGACGAGATTTTGACCGGCCCGCTGACTGTATCCAACCACACTCTGTAATGTGGTACAACGCATCATTCATGAAAGTTGCCGATCGCTCTACTCTCACCGCACGTGTATAAGGTCAGAGCAGAGAGCGTTGTAAACATTCCCCACTGCTGTTATCAGTTATATTTGGAACCTAAATATAAAAAGATTTTAGAAATTAGATTTTATATTAAGTTTCGTTAACCATGGAATATCCCAAGAAACGTAAAGTTGACAGAGAGTGTCGAGCATTTAATTAACAACGATTGGATACCGAAGTATTTTTTGTAATAATCCAGCTCGCCGAGAGCTTTATTTTTTCACATCTGGCCCGTCGACTAGAGAAGTTGCCCACCCCTGCTCTAAAATGTCCTCCTTTCAGGGTTGGGGAATTTGGTCACCTCAAATAACGCGGTCTATTAGGCCCAAGTTTGTATCCTCAAATTAAACTTGAGGTACACTATTGATACGGTTATCTTGATACAGACATAAATATATACTTTTGCATTAAAGCACACATATGGAATTAACACAATAGTATACAACAAAAATGTAATTAATCGCCAAGTCTTTACTTTTGAAAACGTGCAGCCTTTGAAGCAGAAAAAGTTACAAACTGTAATGCACCTGATTTGTCTGTTATTCTAGGCGTCCAACAATTCCTTTTGTCAAAATAATAAAAATGCTAACCCAATCCCAACGAACGTATTTACAAAGAATCGAACGCCACTCTGCACCAAAGTAAAGCCACGCTATAAGCATATTACAACAAATATCCCGGATTGAGATAGATATTTTGGGCAGGCAATCGCCTCGAAGTGTCCTAAATTATTGCGCAATTGTATAATGAAAAATTAGACTAACACAACAATAATAAACCAAACAAGAGAGCTATGCTCAAATATATGGACACGTAGCGCCACCCAATGGCAATAATTTTGATGACATCATAGCGAAAAAAAAGTAATAGCCTTCTAGAGAAAAATTTTATCTTTAACCACTGAAAATTTCAAAGCAATTGGTCCAGTATTTGAAGAGAAAGGCGATTTTTTTAAAATGATGGAGACAACAATAACAACATAATATTGAAACAATCGTTATGTCCACTAAACGTGTCCAATTACACAACAAGTAAAACTAACTTATTGTTTACGACGTTTACGTCAATATAAGAAATCGAGTGAATGACATAATCGATGTAACATCACGTGCTGAACAATTTCTAGATTGGATTATATCAAAGTTGTAGAACTGCGAGCAATCACACAGGCTAAACTGCAACGCAGCTGAAATTTCACGGACTACACTATGACACAAGCTTCTCTGAGTCTTTGGTGGTAGTGATCACCTCGTCATTTTGGGGTGTAAGTGCGAAGCATAGAATCATCTCCATTGTCTTGTAAAGATAACAATGTACACCAAGGTCAAATGATTACTCAATGTCAGCCAAATTCCGTAAGTCCATTCTTCAGAAAGGAAAATGTCGGGCCAATATTCATCGTTCCTAACATTTTATTTTTTTATATTCCCGCCTTGGTGCGCGTATTGCGGCAGCTAAAAATTTAGTATGTATCCATGACAATATGATTAATTACGCCATACTTCTAATTCGATTTATATCACGCCAAAGTTATATAAATTGTTTGTAGCTCAATTTATTACTGTTATTGCTGTACTTGAGAACTACGTGAAAAATAATTTTCTGGAAGAGTGTTTCCAGTCACTGGTAATAGCATTAATTATTGTTACTCTTCAAATATAGTGATCCTATCAGAGCCACATTTTGTCCTCTTACTTATTCTATTTAAATTTAGTATTAATTTATAAAATACCCTTTACATCTCACAAATATTGTTACGTTCATAATACTAGTTCTGGCCATAAAATTTGGTCACGAATAGATTATCTAATATCATCTTGTTTAAAATCCGTTCATATCATCTTAGAAAACTTCAACGAACTGGTCATTTTCTTAACCGCAAATGATGTGATGGACCGAGTAATAACATGAAGAAGATTTGTAAGCCCCGAGGCCATTTAAGACAAGTAGCTTGCAAATTTTGTTTATAAAGCAATGAATTATTTTTCATTCTTTAAAAAGGAATGTGTAAAGCAACATAAACGGCGAGTTGATTAAAATCTATTCTAGTTCAAGAGAACATTCTTTTCGACTAGGGCAAGGGTGCCAAACTTGGCACGCGAACCCATTTATTCGGCACGCGAGCGAGGCCTCAGAAACGAGATCATTCTCTTTCAGATAAAAAGTTTCGAGGCTCTGATTTATCTGATGAAGCTCGGTGTTTGTTTATTCATTATCGTTTGTTAACAATCTGTTGTTCATTTAAAATTTTAAACTTTTTTTGTATTTTCATGACATATGGCTACAAAGAAATATATTATGACGTAACAACTGAGTTAGCTCTTTATGAATTGTGACGAGGCACAGCCTTCATTGGGGGTTCATTGTTACGTAATATATAGTCTGTTCCACCATTTTTCTTCATTTCTGATTGATTTATGAAGTTGTACAGCTAATGTTGGTAAGAGTTACTTGCTAACTTACTGAAATAAATTATTTTCGAAAGAAATATAAGCAATTATAGAAGGGAATACAAGAGAGAAGTGCAGAAAACGAACTATCGCGTGATTGGGAAGCCATTCCCGAGAATTTTTCGCGTCTCAAAAATTTTGCAACCTTCATGTTTTTATCAACATATGTTTGTGACTTTCTGTTCTCAGTTAGGAACTTTATCAAGTCTCATAACAGGAGTAGCCTGAAAGATGAAACCAGTAGTGCGTAACTTTTTTTCAATGTAAATCTCTATCAACGACAATGCTTTAGCAGAAGTCTCTATTATATAGAATAAAAAAAGTAATCAAATCTATTTGTCGGACTGATATTTTCCCGAATATTGAATCTGTCTGTAGCTTACATGTTTAGAAGGTTTATTATTGTGTATTTTTGCTTTAAAGGTAACAAAGCATTGTTTTTAATTTTGGTCGGCGCGCGGAAGAATTTTGTCGTTAAATTTAGACGATTTGGGCACGCGAGCCGAAAAAGGTTGCCCACCCCTGGACTAGGGGAATGTGGTTGTAGACGACATTTTACAGTCCATTTTTTGTATGGAAAACGCAATGTCAACAAAATGTGTTAAAAGTCTTATACCAAATATAATACAAAGTTGTGTTTTTTCAGGTATAAAACCTTACCCGCAGGAAGTCACATAAAAAATATCACATTTGTCGTTTACCGCTGACGCTAATTACATGTTGAAAAATTCCTATTACCGAAACCTGATAATATTTTGATCATGATTTGTTTCTGATATCGATGGCTAAAGTAAAATGGAGAAATTGTTTTAGTGAAAGAAGTATGTTATTTAGTTAGTAAAATATGGATGGGAAGGAGATCCGCTTTCCATCTAATGAAGATGACAGTGACTGTAGTGGCAGCGAAAATGAATATGTCGCACCATAAAAATTAGAGACTGTCTATACCTTGATGTCAGAAAGCTTGGACGACGAAAAACTTATTCAGGATATATCCATGAACCGGGGAGGCGATAGTGAGCAGGAAGAGGATCAAGCGAGATGTCAGTTTTGGCTGTGGTCGAAGTGTGTCGATATCCAACACAAAAAGTCTGTATTGAGGATTGTGCGAGAAATTGGCCCAGTAACAGAACATGTTGCCTGTATGAAAAGGCAGTATTAATCAGAAACAGTGCTTCCTGCACCTGGTTGATTTGGCTATCGTAAACAGCTGGATCCTATACAGAAGAGATTGGGAGTAACAACAAGATCTTTAAAATATTTTTGAAGTATTTTGGCAGAAATGCCTTGTAATCTTGGCAAAATGTCGACTCCAAACGAGGCAGACCAGCAGCTCTACGCCCCAACAACGAGGTTCAATCCGACCGGAAGTTTGTAAAAAGGGTATTACGTGACTGAATAAAAAAATAGGCTAATGTACAAAACTCTTAATCCGCAGACAAGTTTGACAGAATGGTCTCATTCAAATTTATTGTTTTCACTGAATTACAACAATTTTGGAATATAGTTCCAAAATGTTAACGAGGATTCTAAAATGTTTCCCATAAAATTTTAATTTGATTAATTACTGAAACGATGAAGTTGACTTCTGTACTTGTGCTAATCTTCCCGGTTTCGCATCGTCAGGCGGATTTGTTGTATCCTGACCAGAAGTTATGTGTAAACTTGTGGCTGAGCCAAATAGAACCATGCCATGAACAAGATATTAAATTATATAATTTGGCAGTGAAGTTTATTTACAAGAGATCAAAATGAAAATTTGATTTCCATGTTATTTAGTAACCTGTTATCTATATATATTCGTGGCGAATGAAATAAAACAATTAGGAAGACAATATCAATTAAATCTCGTATTTTTTGTATCTCCTAAACCTATATAAAAGAAGAATGAGGATAAAGAAGGATTGTCTGAAAAGATCAAAATATATTCCCCGTTCCGTTTTTCGAAAACTAAATTAGTTATTAAAACGTTGTTAAATTTCCCGCTCTATTTGTATTGATTTGACGTCATTTTTTTTTATTTGTGGGCTACATACGTAGACAATAAAATCATTGGTGCCAATGGTTTTAAAAGCAGTTAAAATCCTTCGATATATCTTGCTTATCGAGAATTCAGGTTAATTTAGTAATAGAGTTCACTAAAACGTTTTGCGCTTTGACTATGAATCAC